TATGAAGAGCTCACGAGGTCGTGAACTTCGGGAGTTAGTACCAAAAGGTATTGGTATTCATCATGCAGGTATGGCTCGTTCAGACAGAAACCTGATGGAGAGATTATTTGGAAGCGGTGTTCTTAAAGTTCTTGTCTGTACAGCTACCTTGGCATGGGGTGTTAATTTGCCCGCTGCAGCAGTAGTAATCAAAGGCACACAAGTTTACAGTGCTCAAGACGGTAAATTTATTGACCTTGGAATCTTGGACGTTCTTCAAATTTTCGGTCGTGCAGGTAGACCACAATTTCAGGATACTGGTATCGGTATGATTTGCACGACAGCAGATAAGCTTGATCACTACCTCCAGGCCGTCACATCACAAGTCCCTATCGAGTCTCGATTCTCGAAACATCTTGTGGATAATCTTAACGCTGAAATCGGTTTGGGGACAGTCACATCGATCCCCGAAGCTGTCGCATGGCTTGGATACTCTTATTTATTCGTCCGAATGAAGAGAGATCCTTTGACTTATGGTATCGATTGGGCTGAAGCTCGCGATGATCCAAATTTGGTACAGCGTCGAAGACAACTATGCATTCAAGCAGCAAAGACACTTCAGCAAAGCCAAATGATTATCTTCAATGAAACGACTGAGGAGCTCAGAAGTAAGGATGTTGGACGTATTGCAAGTCAATTTTATGTCCTCCATACCAGTATTCAGATATTCAACACCATGATGCAACCTCAATCTTCCGAAGCTGATGTCCTCACGATGATTGCTATGAGCGGAGAGTTTGATCAAATTCAATCAAGAGACAGCGAGTCAAAGGAGCTTACCAGCTTGAGAGAAGATTTCTCTCCTTGTCAGGTAAAAGGTGGAACTGATTCCTCACACGCCAAGACGAATATTCTCTTACAGTCTTACATATCTCGAGCCAAACTTGAGGACTTTGCTCTAGCCAACGATACAAACTACGTTGCTCAGCAATCGGCCAGAATTTGTCGTGCATTATTCATGATTGCTTTGAATCGTCGTTGGGGCCACCAATGTCTCGTGCTTCTCTCACTATGCAAGTCAATTGAGAAGAGAATCTGGCCATTCCAACATCCTCTTCATCAATTTGAGCTAGCACAGCCAATCCTCAAACAGCTTGATGATAAGGAAAATCTTTCCATTGAAACTCTAAAGGAGATGGATGCAGCTGAAATTGGTGCCATGGTACACAATCCTGGTGCTGGAAGAACAATCTCAAGAATTCTTGATAACTTTCCTACACTCAGCGTGGAAGCCGAAATCGCTCCACTGAATAGAGATGTTTTGAGAATCCGTCTTTACCTCACGCCGGAGTTCAAGTGGAACGATCGCCACAATGGTACATCTGAAAGTTATTGGATCTGGGTTGAGAACTCGGAGACTTCTGAAATATACCATCATGAGTTCTTCATTTTGAACAGAAAGAAGTTATACGACGACCACGAACTCAGCTTCACTATCCCACTATCGGATCCGCTCCCTACGCAGATCTATGTAAGAGCAGTTTCCGATAGGTGGTTGGGCGCAGAAACGGTGTATCCAATTTCTTTCCAACATTTAATTAGACCTGACACCGAAAGTGTGTACACTGATCTTTTGAATCTTCAACCTCTACCAATTACTGCCCTGAAGAACCCGGCTCTAGAAGAGATTTATGGCAAACGTTTCCAGTTTTTCAATCCTATGCAAACTCAGATCTTTCACACTTTATATCATACACCAGCAAATGTTCTTCTTGGGTCACCAACCGGATCTGGAAAGACTATTGCTTGTGAGTTGGCTATGTGGTGGGCATTCCGAGAGAAGCCTGGCTCTAAGGTTGTCTACATCGCTCCCATGAAAGCACTTGTTCGAGAGCGAGTTAAAGATTGGGGGGCTAGATTAACTCGACAAATGGGCTTGAAATTGGTTGAGTTAACTGGTGACAATACACCTGATACGCGAACTATTCGAGATGCGGACATCATTATTACTACGCCAGAAAAATGGGATGGTATTAGTCGTTCGTGGACTACGAGAGGTTATGTTCGACAAGTTAGCTTGGTTATTATCGATGAAATTCATTTGCTTGGTGGAGATCGTGGCCCTATTTTGGAAATTATTGTTTCTCGTATGAATTACATTGCAACCCAGACCAATAACTCAGTTAGACTTATGGGTATGTCGACTGCGTGCGCCAATGCTATGGATTTAGGAAACTGGCTTGGTGTTAAGGAAGGACTGTTTAACTTCAGGCATTCCGTTAGACCTGTTCCATTGGAAATTTTCATCGATGGTTTCCCAGAGGTTCGAGGCTTCTGCCCCCTAATGCAATCTATGAACAGACCGACTTTCTTAGCCATCAAAACACACAGTCCAGAAAAACCGGTCATTGTTTTTGTTGCTTCCCGTAGACAAACACGTTTGACAGCTAAGGATTTGATCAACTTCTGTGGTATGGAGGATAACCCTCGTCGATTTGTCAAGATGTCTGAGGAAGATCTCCAACTGAACCTTGCCCGAGTCAAGGATGACGCTTTGAAGGAAGCCCTGAGTTTTGGGATTGGTTTGCATCATGCTGGTCTGATTGAATCTGATCGTTCGTTGGCCGAAGAGCTCTTTGCCAACAACAAGATTCAGATTCTTGTTGCAACATCCACTCTAGCCTGGGGTGTCAATCTTCCAGCTCATTTAGTCGTTGTAAAGGGTACTCAGTTCTTCGACGCTAAGACTGAAGGATACAAAGATATGGACTTGACAGATGTACTGCAAATGTTGGGTCGTGCTGGACGTCCTCAATTCGATACGTCAGGAATCGCTCGTATCTTCACTCAAGATTCAAAGAAAGCATTTTACAAACATTTCCTACATACAGGTTTCCCAGTAGAATCCTCTCTTCACAACGTTCTAGACAACCATCTTGGAGCTGAAGTATCCGCTGAAACCATCACTACCAAACAAGATGCCCTAGATTATCTAACCTGGACATTCTTCTTCCGACGTCTCCATAAAAACCCTTCATACTATGGTCTTGAGATCTCGGCCGAAGAACACAATACCATTGCTGCTCAAAAAATGGCCAATGATTACATGATCTCAATGGTAGATAAGTCATTGGACGAGCTCGCCGAATCCCAATGTCTGGAAATCTACCCTAATGGCAATATCGATTCTACCCCTCTCGGAAAAATCATGTCCTACTACTATCTTTCGCACAAAACTATTCGTCACCTAGTCAAACATGCTAAACCAAATGCTTCATTCCGCGATGTACTTTCTTGGATGTCTTCCGCAACCGAATACGACGAACTCCCGGTTCGCCACAACGAAGATCTCATTAACATTGAGCTTTCCAAGAACTTACCTCTCCCAGCAGATGCAGCACATTTCAATGGCCTTCCAATGTGGGATCCTCACGTGAAAGCATTTTTGTTACTTCAGGCCCACATGAGCAGGATTGATCTTCCCATTTCTGATTATGTGGGTGATCAAACCAGTGTTCTCGACCAAGCTATCCGTATCATTCAAGCTTCCATCGATGTCCTTACGGAATTGGGATACCTATCAAGCGTTGTGCAAATGATCACTTTACTTCAATGTATCAAATCAGCTCGTTGGCCGGAAGATCACGCTTTGTCCATCTTCCCTGGTGTAGTTCCTGATTTCAAACCATCCAAGGACAACGACATTCCCACATCACTTCAACAATTCTCAGCCTTACCTCAAACCGCGTATCAATCTCTCAAAAATAAACTACAACTTCCAAGTAGAAATACACAAGCTTTTGATAAAGCAGCAAATATGATACCGAACTTGAAAGTTGAAGTACAAAATGTTACGGCGTTGAAAATGGATGTTGTAATCAAGAGACTTAATGGACTGGTGGATAAGGAGGGAAAAATGTATGCGCCTCGATTCCCCAAGAGTCAGAGTGAGGGATGGTTTGTTGTGCTCTGTAGCAAAGGAAGTGATGAGGTAGCTGCTATTAAGAGATTGGGTTGGAGTGCTCCTAAGACCAACTTGAAGGGTAAAGGTGCTCAGAATGGAAATGTTGGCAATGGAGATGAGGGAAAACAAAATACCAGTGTGATAGGTGTAGGAGTCAAACCTCAAGCAAAAGCAACACTTAAATTTCCTGGAACGGAAGAAGGAGAGGAGGGAAATATTATGGACGGGAGAGTATTCGATGTTTGGGTTGTCAGTGATGGATATAGGGGGTTGATTTATAAGGTTGAAGGGGTAGAGGTACCAGATGTCATGAGGGTTAGGGTTGAAGACGAGGGAAAAGGGAAAGATGGGAAGGGGAAGGGAAAATGAGAAGGGTGAAGGCAGTCAGTGTGAGAGGATAGAGAGGTAAAGACGGAGGATGAAGTAAATAGATGCATACATGAATATGAATATACGAACGCGTACACCAATATACAGAATAAAATATGAAATCATGATATACCTACTATTCAAGATTCTTTCCCAAATCAGAATCCCCCTCTATAGATGTTGAAAGTGGGATCTTGATTGACGCCCATCAAGGGGTGGGCCAAAATAGATGTGAAGTTCACATTGTTTTCCATGAACACTTCTATCTCTACCATTTTTTGGTCAATTCCGACTTTTCGGCGGAAACCCTATGTATAATGAGGGTACACAATTACAACAGTTGGATTTTGCAATCAAGAAACTGGATGAAATTATTCGAACCCTTGGGTACATAGATTAGATACATGTGGCACACAGTATGCAAGTAAGATCAACTGTTTGAAATTTGAATGAGTTGGAATATCTTTACCCCTCTTCAATTAATTAATCTCAGATATATATGTATATAAGTACCTACATACATGCAAATAAAGAGCCACTTTATGTTTTTGTTTTCAACTTTTTAAAGTATTTCAAGCTGTATGGAATAGTACCAAACTTTAGATAGATAGAGATTTCTCAAGTCTATGTTCAAATCTCCAGGAGGAAAATATGAATCCCTTTTTTCCTCGTCTAATTTCTCCCGAATTAACATTCGAAGAATGCGGGGTTTGCTGCACTCGCAGTATTCATCCTCGTACGTATCCATAAAAACTCCCTGCTATCACATCGCGTACTCACTCACAATCGATATCCGCAGTACCAAATCTCCCACACAATCCACACCATCTACCTACACCCGCTCTCCCGATTCCCGGGTCCCCTCCCCTGGATCTGCACCCGCATCCCGTGCCTCACCTCCCTCTGGCATGGCCATCTCGCACACGACGTGACCGCTCTCCACAAAAAACACGGGCCCGTCGTGCGTCTCGCCCCCGACGAACTCTCCTTCGCCTCCCCGCAGGCCTGGCACGATATCTATTCGAATCACGGACGCACTCCCCCGTTCCCGAAAAGTCCCCTCTGGCATGGTGTCAAGACCGGGAGACCAATGTCCGTACTTAATGCGCTGGAGCCCGCGACGCATCGCCGATTTCGCGGGGCAATGGAGCGCGCGTTTACGGAGCGGGCGCTGGGGAATCAGGAGGGGATGGTTAGGATGTATGTTGATGCTCTGATGAGCCGCTTGCGAGATCTCGCAGAGCAGAATGCGAATGCGCATGCGGGCGAGAGTGTGGTTGTGGATATCGTGCGCTGGTATGGGTTCTTTACTTTTGATCTCATTGGCGATTTGGGCTTCGGGGAATCATTTCGATGTTTGGAGAGCGAGGAATATCATCCCTGGGTTGCGATGATCTTTAGCTCTCTGCGCGCAGCGACGTATCGAGCGGCGCTGGGGTACTATCCGGGATTGAGTTGGCTGCTTGCGTATTTTGTGCCGAAGAGTGTGGTGCGGAAACAGATGGAGCATTGGAATCTAGCTGTGGAGAAAATAAATCGTCGGCTGGAGAGAGAGACCCCGAGACCGGATATCATCTCTCTGATTAAACGGGATGAGGACGGGAAAGAAGGATTGACGATTCAGGAGTTGCAAGCGACAGCTAGCGTTATCATTGTAGCCGGAAGCGAAACGACAGTCAGTGTTCTCAGCGGCATTACGAATAATCTCGTGAACAACCCTGAGAAACTCCGCATTCTCACCTCGGAAATCCGCGAGAAATTTGCGGACGAAGAGGACATATCAATTGCGACACTGAGGGAAACCACCTATCTAAACGCAGTCATCCAAGAAGGCTTCCGACTCTGCAATCCCACGTGAGAACCCCATTTCCGTACCCGTATCCCCAACCTAACAATCCACAGTCCCGTCGGTCTCCCGCGCGTCGTACCTCCAGACGGCGGCCGCGTATGCGGATACATACAATCTCCCGCCAAATATATTCGTCAACGTGCATCCCCTCTCCATCTCCCTATCGGCTGAATGTTTCCACAAACCATCTGAATTTCACCCCGAGAGATGGCTCGCAGCCAACGATTCTTCGTCTCCTTTTCACAACGACAATCGCAATGCAGTTCAAGTTTTTGGCGTAGGTCCTCGCTCTTGTATTGGGAGACCTCTGGCGATGGCCGAATTGCAACTTGTGCTTGCGAGAATGGTGTGGAGGTTTGATTTGGAGAAGGTGGATAGTGAGGCTGGGAATTTGAAATGGGCAGAACAAAGGGTTTTTACAGTTGTAGAACGGAAACCTTTTGAAGTAAGGTTAAGAACACGCTCGGCACGATAGCTTGAGATGAGTATATTGTTGAAAATATGTCGCTAAATTATATCTACGGTAATAACCCCATATAGCAACATTCCATGTATTGATACCTCAAATGTCAAAAGTGCCATTGGGGGTCTAGCATGTGCTAGTTCAGGTCGTTTTAATTTTGAAATATTGATATTTTAAGCCTTTTGAATGAATGATCCATCTCTGCAGTGATATCATCACCATCAGCATCACCACCACACATCACTGATCTCACGAAACACCACGTATATAAAATCTCAAAATCTAACAGGAAAGAATTACAATATGCTATCATCATAAACTAACTAACAACCATCTAGCCCACGACCGAATGATCGATCCATCTACCATCTAATCTAAGTGTGATGGTCCATCCATTTTTTCATCCATCATTCCAGCAGATGCATGCGTTCTTATAAACATACTCCGACGCCCGCAAAACAAAGCAAAGCCTTTGATAAATACCCACCCATCAACTCATCATCATTTTCCTTCAAATGATCTAATCTTCAACTCAATTCATTTAATGAGTTCCATTAACACCATTTGTCTCTGCCTCAACCTCATCCCCACTAGGTTCCTCATAACCATCTTGGTATTTATCCCAATTAGCCAACACATTGCCAATCTTTGGACTGTTAGTCAAACGATAAACATCCTCGAAATATTCCTTGGTCAATTCGAAAGGTCTAGCTGTAACGTTAGGAATGTATTTTCCAATCAATTTGCTAGGATCGATAGTTGTCTTGTTAATTTTCTTGAGCAAGAAACTTCTGAATGGTTTGACTCCACTTCTCAAGAATGTGGAGTGGAAAGGCACATCAATACCCTTGAGAGGAATGGTAGCGAAACCTCTTTGGAGATCAAGAGGTTTGGGCTTGGCTTCGGTTTGCTTAGCACATTCGCGGATGATTTCAACAAGATGTGCTTTGACATCATCGAGACTCAAGGTTTGCATGAGCTCTTGAATGTCGATTTTTTGAGCTTTAAGGTAGTTGGTTACACCAGTGAGAGTGTCAAGAGCTCTTAGATCACCAGCGCAAACGTATTGCATATTGGCAATGTTGTAGTTGACGATTTCCAATAACCAACTGGTTTCTTCAGCAATGTTTGCAACGACATATTGAAGGGCTTCTTCGTTGAAGGTCTTGGAAATTCTGCTTGGGTTGACAGCGCACATAGAGTAGTTGGATCGTCCAGAGGCATCACGTTCGACAGCGACTTGCATAGTCAAACCTCTGTAGAAGACGACAGAAACCAGACTCTCAATTGGCATGACATCTGCCAAAGCAGCAAGGGCAGAATATTCTCCGAGGGAGTGACCAGCGAAACTGCTATCACGTTGAACAAGACCCTTAGAGCGCATATCTTCGAAACTTGCCTTCTCCATCAATGTCAAGGCGGGTTGTGTGAATTGAGTGGCAGAGAGAAGACCGGTTGGTGATCTGTAAGTGTAGGATGTAGTACGTTCATCAACTTCCTTGAACATCTTCTCGGATTTGATAGAACCATCGGCACCGACGGTTTCGAAAGTCATAGACATGTAGTTTTGACGAATTGCCTTACCACGAGAACCACCAAAGTGAATGGTGAGTTCCTTGGGGTTGTTCTTGACAATGTTGGTGATGGCAAAACCTGATGTATTATTAGAAATGATATCGTAAAAATTGACTCAAGTAACTTACCATAATTGTCCATGAAATGCTTGTCGGCACGATCCCATACTTCCTTAGCAACAGGACTGCTGGCATACAACTCCATACCCATACCTTGTTCTTGAGAACCTTGACCAGTGAAAACATAGGCTGAGACTGGTTGTTCGACTTCAGCCTCACCAAGTAAGACCTTATCTTCAGTCTCCTTGTTGCTAGCCTCAACCTTGATAATCTTACGACCAGCAACCATACCGACATGTTGTAACTTGACTTCAATATCATCGTTTGGAAGAACCATACCTGTCAGTTGAGCGTGGAAACTGCGAACACGACCCACGTGGTTCTCTGCAGCCCAAGTCTCGACTAAGCTGCGAACAGCTGCACTTGAGTACATACCATGGGTGATGGTACCAGGAAGGTTTGCGTAGCTAGAAAAGACACGAGAAACGTGAATAGGATTGTAATCACCCGAGACACGAGCATAGGTTTCGTTGGATGTTGGTGCTCTGAGAGAGAGAGGAGTCTTGCCATTGAGAGGGATGGGATTCTCGAAGTTAATTGGCTGTTCAATTGAGGATCCATGACGCTCAAGGTAATCGATGACTGGGTTACCATGAGAAACACCAGCTTCGTACTCGACACTTGCAACTTGGATGATCTCCTTGGTTGGAAGCTCCAACAAAACTTGACCTCTAGTCTCAACACTTGAGAAAACGGTCTTGTTCTTGAAGCGGACAAGACTCTCAAGACGGAAGGTCAAGGTTTGACCAAGCAACTCGTGATCTGGCTCATCCAAGTTGAACCACTCCTTAGATCTCAGAACAGCAACGTCCTTCGAAGTAGCAAGATGGATTTGCATAGGTGTCTCAGTCTTACGCTGGAAGGTGTTCTCAAAATCGGTGTATGCACCTCTGTACAAGAATTGCGAAGTAACTTCCATGACTGGTTTGCCCTCTCTGGTAATGGTACCGCACACCTCGACCATCTTACCAGAGTCTTGGTTAAGAACAGCATTGATCTGGGCTGTAGTCTCAACTTCGTCACCCTTCTTCAATGGTTCGGCTCCAGGGATCATGCGGAACCCGTTAGAAAGATGTACGAGTTTGAGAAGATCACCATCAATTGTTCTGGGGAAGATTGGCTTGGTAATGGCCTTCCATCCAACAACGATAGCAAAATCCATAGGAGCGAAGACCTCTTTACCAGGTCGGTCAACGAAAGCTTCTCCAGTGTTTCCAACAGCATGAACGAAGTCGTTGATAGCTTCACTGGTGATGGTAGCCTTGCCACCATTGAAGATACCAGTGACTGAAGCGTCGAGGTCAAGAGTCTCACCACCGAACCAGGCTCGCCAGTAGAATTCCTTGATACGATCATTTCTGTCATCCATGACCTCGCGAATTGGAGCGTAACCAGCCTCAGGGTGGTATGTGAACTTCAATGGAAGAGATACTGGCTTGCCGACGGCAGTTGTGTCCTTGATCATGTTGACCAAGATCTCGTTCTTGCCAACCAGTTTCACGTCAATGACTGTAACGTAGTGATTTGGTCTAGGTTGCTCCTTGACAGTGATTACGGTCTTTGAAGGATCGTTAGGATAAGCGATCTCAACAAAAAGACCCTTGACAGGAGAGAAGATTCGTTTCATTGGGTTTGTTTGGAATTTTTGTCCTTGAACAAATACCTCTGAAGTGAAGAGAGCATGTCGCCAAGATCTCTTGCGGCCCGCAAGCAATGAGAGCCAAGCCTCGAGGGATGGAAGAACAGCAGTGGGAGAGTATGACAATCGGTAAGTGGTCTTGTCAGCATCTTCAGAAATTGTGAGACCTTCAACGTCGACTTCCTCCTCAGTTTCAATGAGCTTACCACCAAAGTATTCAAGCACTGGGATAGAAGATTCGTCTCCACCGTAGATATCTTGGGTCAAAGACTTGATGTGTGAGTTGTGAATACCGTCGAGAATTTCCTTGATTGGCTCATCGACAACCTTGGAGTATTTGACAGCCATTGGTCCTTGCAAGATACAAGTTCTGCCTACATCTTGACCGATGACAGCCTCAAGATCTTCAGATTGCCAGAGAGAATCTTTCTTGAAGAAGAATTCAAAGTTTTCATCAAGAGATGGCACGAAAGTAGTTGGCTTTTGACCTCTACGTTGGCAAAGCATGAGGAAGTGTTGAACATCTTGAGCGTTGATGAGTTGTTTCTCCGATTCTGGGTAAGCAGCTAGAATCTTTTCCACGGTTGGGTAAGGATCTTCCAAATCTGCGTAAGATTGGAGCATGGATGGCTGTCCTTGAGCAGTTGTAAAACGCTCCTCAACACGGCGAATGAAGTCACCAGTGAGCTTAATGTATGATTTGTCGATCCAACGAGACTCGTGCTTGACATACATCAAATCTACCATTCTGCGGACAACTTCGCCATATGTCATGTCCTCAAGATCGACTGTCTCCCCGGCTTTGTTGCGTCCAAACCAAACCTTTTGGAAATCATCATTCAACTTCTTGATGATGTAATCACGGTTCTTCTTCAACTCGGGTACTCGCTTTTCCTTTGGTAAACTGAAGATCTTGGCATCCATCTCAGCCCAGAATTTAACACCACGAGTTGCCAACTTGTGAATTGGCTCACCCATTTCAGATCGAACAGTGATGACGCCACCGGCAGGGCCCTTGTAGGTCTTCTCCCATGCGGCATCATCAAGACCTTCGGCTTCAGTGATGGCTTTCTTGGCATTTATGCTGGTTTTTGCTTCCTTGGCTGTCATGACACGACTACCAAAGAGACATCCATCGAATGGCATTGGGGGATAGCCATAGTTCTTTGACCATTCACCAGTGAGATAAGGATAGGTATCTTCTGCGCCACCGAAACCACTGCCTGCGACCAAGAGAACGTTCTCCTGTCTTCTGATACGCGAGTACATTGAAAGAATTGGTTGATGGAAATCCTCAAAGGAGTGATGTCCGCCTCCACGTCCTCCAGTCCATTGGAGAATGACTGGGAAAGTTGGGTTGGCCTTTGCAATGTTGATGACAGCTTGAATCGCCTCCATGGATCCTGGCTTGAACGCGATATGTTTCAGGCCAAGTGTTTCAATATATTCTTGTGCCACCTCGACGGAAGGTACACCAGCACCGATTGTGAGACCTTCGATTGGGACACCTTCTGCACGTAATTGCCCGAGGAGTGGGATTTGCCATTGCATAGCACGTGGGTTGATGTAGATAAGGTTGACAGTAATACCACGACCAGCTGGAATGGCGTTCTCAATCTTCTTCAACGCTTCGGTCATAGTCTTGGCATTGTAGTATCCACCTCCAGCCAACTCAATTT